CCTCAGCATGAAAAAGAACTTCTTTAGATTGAGGATGGCAGAGAACTGGAACAGGCTGCCCAGGGAGGTCATGGAGTCTCCCTCTCTGGAGACATTTAAAACTCACCAGGACAAGTACCTGTGTTAACTGTTCTAGCTGATCCTGCCTCAAAAGTGTGAATTGGTCTAGATGATTTCCAGAGGTCCCTTCCAACTCAAACAATTCTGTGATTCTGTGATTTTATGAACTTGATTTTTGGGTCTTGAAGTGTTTGAATAAACAGCTCCAGTTTTTTAATGAAACAATTTTCAAATTCTCGCTGTGGGGTATGCAACTACAATTACATCCAGTTTGGTGCTGGTTACTGGACATTAAGTACTCATGATCTGTTGTCATTTAAGAATTTAAAGTCTATTTATTTCAAGAACTAGAAATGTTAAAGTAAGATAGTAATTTATTACCTATTAGTTATCAATATTTCTATTTATTAGTTATTAATAGTAAACATTTTTATGATTTTTTTCAGTTTCTATTTGAGGATGATTACCTCTTTTTTAGTTATTTGTATGTAATTTGATATACTTTTGAGTATATAAATCAGCCATTATTTCTTTAAACCTAAATTATTTGTTGAGAAAAGAAATTAATTAAAAATTCTTTCAAATTCATTCAAATTCATTAAAAATTAAATCTAGATATTTGAAGAGCTAAAGTTTTTTCTACTTACAATTGTAAGTTATCTTTTATTTTAAAACACAATAATAATTTTTCTGGGCATTTCAGTTTTCATTCAACCTTCATTTTTATGAAAATACATTTTACCCCTAATGGAAATAGTGAAGCAGATATGTCAAATTCTTGTCTTCTTATGCAGTTTCTGAATATTGCACTGTTAAACTTTTAAAATATTTCACCCATGACATGGCAGCATGAACTTCTATCTGGGAAAAAGTACCTTTTGTAAATGGTGATCAAGTCAACAGTTTCCTTTTTGAAGGGAATTCTACATGGTTAATCTACAGTTTTGATTCTTCTTTATCTAAAAGGCAGAAATTACATAGTGAGCAAAGGCAGTGGGAAACCATGGTAAGAATTTGGGAAATGTTGAAAAATGTCTGGCAATAGTGGTGGGAAAATCTCTATGACTTGAATAGAAATTCTACCTTCAATGAAAGCAAGAACTTTCACTGTTGATCTCTGAATCCAGTTTGTCCTAGGCCAAAAGCAGAGCTCCCACATTCCTCTCTGTTCTTTCTCCTGGTTCTTGAGCCAGATCTGCTAATGGTGATAGTTGTGATAAGCTGTTGTAGTATTTAAAGAATTTTTTAAATTGCAACTATTTGCAGAACTGTTTATCTAGTGGTGTCACTGTCTGTCCAGTTATATCATTCTGTAATAATGTATAAAAAAAATGTACTTTCAGTAAAAGCACTTCATACATTTTAATGCATTTAATCCTTAAATATCTTAAAGCATAGGTTAATGACATCTCTGTTTCAAAGTTGAAAAACACAGAAATAGATCGGCATTTTTCAAGCACTCGCAGACTGCAAGTATCTCATAAAAAAATTGAAGTATACAAAATCAGTGACATTTTTCTGACAATGAAGGTCATGCTGAGTTGGTAGGACTGCACTGCTTAACTGCAACAGTACCAGGAAAAAAGAGGCCCAGACCTTTGTCCCGCCTTTTCTCGAAAGTGATTTTAGGACATGTAAAAGTTATGAATGAAAATGTTATTAAATTGGCAACTGATCAACCATGTATGCTTGGAACATAGAGAAATTAACAAGACATTAGCAAGCCTAAACCTCTTAAATTGGAGCTTTATAGGGACAGTTGTCTGACATCCAGAAGGGCCATAGAGATAATAGCTTTTTGTCCAAATGACTTTGTTTGGACTATAAATAGAACAAGACAAGTCTTGTTTCAGCTCATGGAAACATGTCTGTTCCTGTTGGCCAGATATGTAAAGGTTTTGCTTTTATGGCAAAACCCTTAAGCTTCAGAGACCACCCTTTCCCTGTCCCTATCTTCATCATTCTTAGGAGCACTTCTATTTTAGTCTATGTTTTCTTGTTCTAGAAAGACTGAACCTAACCCTAATGAGACTACTCATCTTGGTTTATAACTAGAATAGAATAGAACAGAAAAATAGATGGGACTAGACTAGACTAGACTAGACTAAAAGGTCTAAACTCAGATTTTCGCTTTACTTCAGAGAAAAGGAATAATGCTCTGAGGAGATGAACATGAAAAATCTTACTATGGTAAAGGCATACATATCCTTGGGAGAGAGATTATTCATAAGTTTAAATGGAAGGAATAAAGTTTTATGCTAACAATTTTTGCTGCTTTCTCTTGGTTCAGATGTGCCAAGTAACAACTACTTAATTCTTTGGGGCATTAAGTCCTATTAAACTTCAAGCCGACCTAGGGGAATTCAACACTTTAAAAAAATGATGCCCACAATTCTCCTTCACCTCCAGTTCTGAGGAGCTGTGCACATACATCCATCATCAGCCAGGGAAGCCCTCACGGGGAGGATGGTGGCAATGGCTGTCCAAGCCTGGCGTGACACGTCCACCACAGCTGAGGCTGGAGGCAGTGCAGTGTCCTGGCAGTGGGTGAGGGGCCAGGGCAGTGCCACAGCCTGCACCGCTGCCTCAGCCAGGGACAGACCCTGCTCTGCTGGGGGTGGTTGGGGTTTGCCTGGTGAGAACAGGCAGCTAAGTCCATCAATGTTAATCATGCTCATTGCCTGGTCTTTTCCCCACTTCCTTGTTTTTATCTCTGTAGGATTTTTCATCCTCTGAAACCAACAAAAAGATCATATTTTCCTTCAGTCTCTGAAAGCCCATCCTTTTTTCCAGACTTTCCATTTCACGCTGTTTGAATTTTATTAAGATCTCTTTACACAAAAGCAGAGTACTGGCTATATGATGCCCTGAGGGATCTGAAAGGCTGTTGCCATAATGTCACAAAACTCTGGGGACATTTTATTTCCACCAGAAGCTCTTTGGAGGACTCTGTCTAAGGATATAATATATCTTAAATGTTTACAGCAGGGATCTTTATCTCCATTGGAATTTAATACAAAAAGCTCTTTTTTAAATCTCTTAATTAGCACATCACAATACCACTGATTAAATAATACCTATCTATAAAACGGATTTTATTTTATTTTTATTTTTCAATGAAGAAAACTGGTATTATTCCAGAATTATGGATAATATTGTTAATCATGTATTCTTAACAATTTGAATTTTATTTCAATACCTCAGCTGAGGTATACATTACAAAATATTTTCACCAGGTACTTTCCAGAAGCACCTCTGTTTACTGTTTCTGCCTCCAATACTTTCTGTTTTTCTCAAACACAAATGTGAATAAAATCTTTGTGCAAGGCTCACAATAGCATGTCTCCTCCAGTGAACAGGAAAAGATTTTGTAAGTGTTAATAAGGTTTTATTTTCATTGGTCAACATTGAAATCAGAAGCAACTGCTGAAGTAGTCCCTTATATAGCACAACAGCCCTATTCAGATAACTTTTTAAATCAAATTGTTTAGGAAGCCATATCCTAATTTGACAAAAAGATAAGTCTCATGAAAAAAAGTATTGTCTTTTCAAAAAGCTGCAGGATAATTGTGTGTGTGCATGTAATAGAGTAGGACATATATTTAAATTATTATTTAATTAAAATAATGTAGATCTGTATGCTCATTTGACAGGATTTTTTTTGGTAAAATTTAATTCATGGATAATCATACAGAATATGGATGCAAATTCTAAAGATAATATTTAAAAACACATTTGAATGTTGAACTACTTGGGACACATTTTTCTATTTTTTTTAATTCTGTAAGTTTTATGCTTTCTAGGACCATGTTGAAGGTGCTGGGATATTAACAAAATTTGGTTTCCTTAAAAATAACATAAACATCCAAAACAACAAAGGAATCTGATGTTTTAAGGCAAATCAAAATCTCTCTACTGTTGATGCATTTTATGCATCAGTGACTCATGTCAACATTTTCTGTCATAGATAACTGAAAATCTTTACAGGAGGTATCAGACCAAATAAAAAGGATTTTTAAAATTCCATTTCTGAAGCTGCAAGTAGTCTATAAAAATATGTAAATCAGATACTGAGAATATAATGAAACTACTAATATAAATACACTGAATTGCACCACTGGTCAACAATATGTACATTCTCCAAGTAATGGTCACACAGCAATCTAACATTATTTCCTACTGCTATTTCCTGTATTTCCCAGACCTTTTGGACATTGTATTTACTATGTACCACTCTTCTTTCTCCGAATAGTGCCACACTGATATCACAGATAACGGTAAAAACAGTTTTGAGATAACTCTCAAAAAAGAAAGCAAATTTTATTTCTGGAGGGTTTTTTTTTTATTATTATTTAATCTTCTTTTAGAACTGTTCTTATTCTCAAATGGACTGAATGGCTTTTGTGATTGGCAGGATAGATTTGGATGCTGTCTCACATAAATATACTGACAGAGGTAGTAATAATTTAACACTTTTAATGCTGTCTTTCAATACATCATCTTTGTAGTGATTAACTGTAATGGCATTTTTAGTTGGTCAGTGTTCTCTTAAAATGTCATCTTTTCAAAGTCACAATGTACTACATATTTCTGGCATCAATTAGTTAAAATAATTAAATTTAGCTCCCACATACTGGTGCAGATATTTGTAAAAAATGACAGAAATAACTGACTCTATTACCTCACGTTTTTATTCCATGCTAAAGCTTCTTTTTCACCATCCAGATGATGATTAAAACTGAATTAAAAAAAATATGTTAATGAAGTTCTGCCCATCTCTTGGAATATCTCTCTCTCCAATGGTAAAAATAACTGCAAATGTTTGTTGTTTGGAATTTCTGAGTTTAACTACATCTCTAAAGTTGACATTTGCTACTTTAAGGTATGTATTTTTTATTATAGCTAAGTAAAAATTACACAATACTCTTCTTTCCCTGCAGGATGTGTGACACAGGAGAAGGGCTGTTCACCTTTCAAACACGAGAAGGAGAAATGATATATCAGAAGGTCCATTCTGCAACATTGGCAATAGCTGAGCAGCATGAAAGATTAATGATGGAAATGGAGCAGAAGGCAAGGGTAAGGTCCTTTTACCAAAAGTCTTTAAACATATAAAAATTGGTAATAAACCAAAGTCGGTGGATTCAACTGTAACAATAGTCTCATCTGTGTGGCTAAGACAAAACAGAGTTTCAGATTTATGTACTTTCATGGCCAGGAATCCTTGGTGTGTTCTGTACAATGATCTTGTGTGTGTGATTTTTTGGAATAGAGGATATCATTAGATAAGAGATGCATGTTCATCTTCTCTGAAATTCTGGCTCTGTTACTCAAAGATTAAACCTTTAGCTGTTGTGTTGACTACTGATGAATGAGTTTTAATTGCTCCTCATGGCCTCACAGGTGGAAAAAAACCTAGTATAAACACTTCTAGGTGACAGCATACATGTTTTTCTTAACCCCTGAAAGAAATTACTTCCCCTACATTATAGCTAGCAATGCAATTGAGTTCAATAGGGCGATTTTATTATTTTGCGTTCAGAATTTCCAGTTTGCACAAGTTGTGTTTAAGTGACTGCTGTGGAAATATTTGGAGTTCTTTTAAGACAGCAAGAAAAAAGCTTTCCTTTTATGCTTAGAAGTATAGATGGTCTTTAATGGTCATTCTGGAAAGATGACTTTCAGGCCAGAGAACCTAGCCTGCATGCTTTTCTTCTGAGATGACCATGATTGCGTATCTTCTTCTGTAGACAAAATTTCAGGATAACTGTAGTATTTCCTTATTTTCCTCATCCACACTGTATGTGCCTCTAGTCAGGCAAACATGACTTATATGGATTAATGTCCCACATTCCACCAATGTCAAAATACTTTTCTCACTCTGCTGAGACAAAGGCTTTTGCAAGGACCAACCTAAGACCCCCAGTGTTCAGCTTTTCTTAATTACTCCTCAGAGAAGTCAGAGAACCAATCAGAGAATGTTAAGGGATGGAAGTAGATCTTAAAAATCATCTAGGTCCCAACTTCCCTCACCGTGGGCAGAGACACAATTTTCCTTATTCACTGAAAAATAAACTAGAAAAAGATTTCCATGTCAAAAGTCTGCTCTGTTGAATGTTCCTCTCAGACTTTGCATGTCTGAGAACCTGAATTGGGAAGCCATAAAAAAGGCCTGGTTTTGGTGCTTTATGAAAAAAGAAAATGGATTTTTCCATAAAAATAGACAAAGTAGGAGCCTCTGTGTAATAGGTGAGGTGCATAAACTTTGGACAGGAAATGCAGGAAGAGGAGAGTTTACAATCAAGATTAATAAGGAGCAATTGCTGGAAAGTCCAACACAAGGTAGAATAAATGGAAGGCTAGTGAAGAACTAGATCTGCTGGCAAAAAATCACTGCATTCTGCTGGGCAGAAAATGATTGAACCAGGGGAAAAAAGGAAAAACTCATCATTATTTTATAATATGTTTGCTTTTAAACTGTCTACACAGTAACAGAAATTAGAACATTTTCATGCTTAAATGCTTAGACCAGGATCATACAAGATTTTCCTTTTACAGAACCATCGCTTTCAGCTCTTCCACCCATCAATTAGCAGCTTTGCTGCTTTACAAAGCCATTTCCATTCTGCCATCAGATGACTTCATTGAAACCATATTTATGAAGGCTGTGGCCATATGGTACGTAATATCAAACTCTGAGTGAGAGCAGGCTGAGAAACAGAAATGACTCATCAGCCACGCTGTGTGTGATGTACTTGTCTCCTGGACGAGGCCGCACTGGGATCTGCACAGGGAGAGCAGGAGAGGCTCACATAGGCTGCTGTGGGCTGTGCAAAAGAGGCTGAAAAACCTGTTGATTTTGTGCTTCAGCTGATATAAACTAATGTTCGTTTGGTTTAGGAAACTATGCTGCTTCTGACGGGTATGGTGCTGAACATTTTAGGACATTTGAGTTTTATTCATATTAGAAACAAAATTTAAAATACCAAATAGACTAAGTACATGTTGCATTCCATTTATCAAGTGCTATTGTATCTCATTCCAACAATTTCACCAAACAACTATGTGTATTTTTTCCATGAGATCTGAAATTGAAATACAAGCAAAAGAATATTTTAAATCAGAGATTTAGTGGGTCTTCCCAAAGCTTGACATTTGATCTTTTTATCTGTAGTTCTGTACTTAGATTTTTCTCATTCCTGACCCTTTCTGTAATAAGCAGCTCAAGTTTGTGTTGAATTAAATCTTAGAGATACATATATACACACATATATATACATATATATACATATATATACACATATATACTTAAAAAAATTATCTCATACATACATATATATATATGAGATATTTTTTTAAAGTATAGAAAGGTGAATGCTATATCCATTATTGTACAATTCAGAAAAAGAAAATGTAGGTAACAGTAATCATTACTTCTTCCTTCCAGTCATTGGAAATAAGTTTTTAGAAAGGACTCCTGTGAATATTTATGTTCCATCCTAAATGTTAATAGGTTTTAAGTAATGAACACACTGGAGTTTCATTTAATTTTTGCCAGATTATAATATCTAATATTAAAAAGTAGTATAATGTAATAAAAAGAAAGAATACTGATTATAAAAGAAATTAAAGTGATTTTTTTTACCAGAGCAACCTTGATAAACTACATAGATTATGATTACCTTTCAAAGCAAATATACAAAGTACATCACCATGAAAATGCAAAAACAGAAAAAAAAACCCAAAGTACAAAATACACTAAACAAAACCCCAGAAAAAAATTGTGGCAGAAGAATAAAGATGGTGCTTTTAGGCAATTGCAGGTATTTAGGTATGGCTTGTGCCTGAGCCACAGGACACATTTATTCTGTTTATGGAAGTCCCTCCATCCAAAAATTCTGTTTCAGAATGTGCAACAATAAATTCATTTTTATGCTAAAAAATCTTTTGCTTGGGCCAAGCAACATGCTGGATAACTGTTAATAAGAGAGAGACATGAGAAGGAAATTAATTCTTCCTATTACCTCTTAAAGTGCATGGGCTGGAAGCAAAAATGTTCAGTAGCAGCTTGTACAGTGCCAAATCTGCCTCTTTGCCACCTCTAGCAGGAGAAGCCAGGTCAGTTTAAGGAGGCAGTCATGTGCACACTTTCATCTTCTTTTGAATTATAACACTGGAAGAAAGACCTGAAATATGAGATCAGTAGTCACTGGCATGAGTGTGGATTTGAGCTGGTTATTGGTTTTACTGAGATCAAAGTAGACTGGATTTTATTCAAATAATTCAGCAAAGTGGACATTGATCTAAGTTAGCTCAGGTGGTTTTCTTGATTGAATTTGAAATGTCGCATTGGCAGAGTGATAGTGTTTTATGCTTGCTTTGTTTGGGACAATAAAAAATTTGGGCCAATGCTAGTACTTAAATTGAAATTCTTTTCAGGGAAATTGTTACCTGTATATTCACTTTTTTCAGTCTTTGCTTTTTCAATGGTTCACTGTAATACAGATGATAATTCTGTTTCAGAGTTGTTCTGTGGGAGAGAGAGCAATATTGCAGTCGTTTTTAGTGATTTTAGTTCCAAGCTAACAAATTAAAAAGAACAATGACAGACTTTCTGTTTGCAAGCTTTTATTTTGTGCTATTGTGTTACCCACATGAGAGTGTCAGCAACTTTCCTTTTATCACCTGAACAAACTTCTTGTTTTTTTCCCCTTTGTCCCTCCCCTTCTCCCTGCCCTCTGACCCCTTATTTGTTTGTTTGGGTGGGGTTATTTTTCTCTGTAGCATTTAGAAGTCTGTTTGGATGGTTTGTCTTCAAATTACTGTGCAAAAAAAAGTGTAAGCCTCAGGAATGGCCTGTATTCCTCCCCAGTGGCTCTAGTCAGATGTTGAACATGGAAGATGCATGTCTGGGTTTCTAACAGCCAGCTCCATCACCCCTCCCCAGTCCCCAGACTGGACTGCAAGCTCCTTCCATTTCCTTTCTCTTAACCGAGGGGCTTACTTATCTAACTGAGCCAATTCAGTTTGCTAGTTTGACCAAAAAAAAAAAGAACAAAAAAAAAAAAAAAAAAAAAAAAAAAAAAAAAAAAAAAAAAAAAAAAAAACCAAAACAAAAAACCAAACAAAAACAATCAAACAAACAAACAAAAAAAAAAAAGAAAAAAAAACCTACCTACCTAAAAGGAGCAGGCTTCTTCAGGTTCACCAAATGGAATTGGCTTATAGAGACAGCAGCAAACTATTGGATCTTCTTAGTTGTCCTATCCTTAGGAGAGAAAGTAAAAGAATAATTCATCCTCTCTAAGTGCTTCAGCTAAAAGAAGACTGAGTATCCTCATCTTTCCAACAGGAGATGATGTTGGGTTTGGTGATCTTTTTTTAAAGAATCAATATTTTTACACATGAGCATATGAACAGTTGTTTTCAGCTGCACTTGCCTATCTAACCTCTACACCAGGATGACAACACGGCATTGGAATTTTAATCTCTGATTTTCATTTCTAATGTCAGCTTTGATCTTCTGCCATTTAACTTCCACTGAAAACACTTCTAATGTAGCTTCTGGGCTCACTGTTGTTGAAGGGTAGAAAATGGGAGGTTAAGAGCTGTAGATTTCCTATTTTAGGACTACATATGTGAGGGAGGAATTCTGAGGAATACTTATACCTTTGTAGCTCTACCAATTACTTCCTTCAAGAGCTGACAGTAAAAACTTATTATGTATTCTCAAAAGAATAAAAATTTACAATATGTAAAACAATAAGCCTAAATAAGATAGCACTGAAGTTGATGTTAGGCAGCTGAACTTAATCAAAAATCAGTACGACTGAAGTATAAATGCAGGAATAAATTATAATGGCCCAAGTTTCATAACTTATTATCTTTGGAAGTTTCCTATAACATTTATTTTACTTTAGACAGCAGAGCTAAAAGCCATTTTAGATTGTGATCTTTTTAACATTTCCCAGAAGATAAACACCCTTAAGAAACATTGCATCTGTATATTTCTAGTCTCATTATTTACAAGTCTTGTCTTTAAAATTCAACTTAATATAAGTGAAAGAGTCATCATGATA